TGTGATTTGGAGGAATAGAGGGGGAATCTAGAACAAGGCAACATTGCTTTTGATGTCAGTTGGACTTCACTTTCAGGGTTTAGCTTGGGTACTAGACCCGTTTCCATTCCTCACTTGCTGTTAAGACTGAGGCCATGTATGTAACATCCTGACCAGAAGCATCCCAGCCCTGACAACCATGCCAGGATGAACAGAAAGAATGCATGATCACAAGGCGTCTACAGGCACCATTTATATAGACTAAGTTTAAACTTTACCTGGCTTTTCTCCCTTATCTAATCTATTCATTTCTACATAAAATGGTGTCTGGCGAAACTGGATCCTTTGTAAGCTGAGTTTTCCAGCTTGGCAACGGAGTCTTAAACCTTTGAAAGATAAGAACCAATTTTCATACTTTAGATCACACACTAATTTTATCTGTGTGATTTAATAACACACATACTTTTTTTTGCCTGGGCTTCTCTAACAACAGAAAATACAAGATGATTTTAGCACTTTTCTTGGCGTTGTGAGTTCATCCATTTTCCAGCCTTTGGGGTTTCATTTTGGCTTTGAGACAATGTCTCTGTCACATAGGTTCCAGGGTGCCCCCAAGACCTATCTTCTGGGAGGTAGATGTGGCATCCTTGGATTTAGATACTTTTGTGTTGTGGTTAGGTGAAAGGAAATAAGCTGAAAGATGTTTCCAACTTGTGTGGAATATGAAAACCGCCTTCCTTGTATTAAAAGCCACATTCTCTACACAATGGAATACTATTCAGCTGTTAAAAAAACAAGGACATAATGAAATTTGCAGACAAATGGATGGATCTGGAAAAGATCATCCTGAATGAGGTAACCCAGACCCAGAAAGACATGCATGGTGTATACTTACTTATAAGCAGATATTAGCCGTATGATACAGGAAAACTATACCACAATTCACAGAAGAAAGGAACCTAAGTAACAAGGAAGACCCTTGGGAAGACCTAGGGAAGATGCTTAATTCTCATTCAGAAGAGCAAAAAGAATAGATGCTAGAAGCAGTTGAAGAAAAGGAACAGGAAGGGAGCCTACCATAGATAGTTTCTGAAAGACTCCATGCAAAAGGGGATGAAAGCAAATTCGACAGCCAGACTTCTAGTAGAGCACAGGGAGTCTTATGGAAGAGTTGGGGATTAGAAGGACCCGGAGGAGACAGGAGCTCCACAAGAAGACCAACAAAGAAAACAAATCTGGGCCCAAGGGGTTCGGGGGAAGAGCAGTGGAGACTGATCCACCCATCAAAAACCATGCATGGAGAGGACATAGGACCCCTGCTCAGATGTAGCTGATAGGAAGCTCAGTTTCTATGTGGGTTCCCTAGTAAGGGGAATAGCGCTGACATGAACTCTGTCACCTGCTCTTCGATCATTACCCTTGGCAGGGTGTCCTTGCCAGGCCACAGAGGAAGAGGATGCAGGCAGTCCTGAAGGGACTTGATAGTCTGCGGTCAGTTGATGAAGGAGGAGGGCTCCCCCTTTCTGAGGACTAGGAGACAGGGATAGGGGAGAAGAGGGAGAAAGGGTGGGACCATGAGGCTACGAGGGAGGGGGCTATGATTGAGATGTAAAGTGAATAAATTTTAAAAATAATAAATTTAAATTAAAAAAAAAGAAAGCCAATTCTCTTTCTTTTCCTTGCTCCTGATTTTGCTTCAGTAAAGCTTGCACAAACCAAAGGCACGCAAAATGGAATTCATTCATTCTATAAAGAGCGCAGCTGACTATACAGGTATATTAGGGATGTTTAGATTCCCTAAGGTAGATGTGCTAAGTGAATCTAGCCTTTCTCCAAGGTGTGACTAATACAGATTCTGGGTTATTTGTTTGTTTTTGTTTTTGTTTTAACGATTCCATGTTGTGAAGATAGTCATAATGAAGTCTGGAGGCAAGTGATGCCTCCAAAAGGCCCTTGCTAGGGCTCTGATTTAATCACCAGAAGAGGGTCCTGGATATCTCCTAAAGTTCTAGAAACCCACAGATATACCCATTAGACTGTATTTAGAATATTTTAATGCATTTCATCATCATCTTTTACACCATTGTTTTTACAATGCTGTTTATAAAATTAAAGCCACAATCACCACATGTGTGCATTTTAACCCTCACATACAGTAAGAGGTAATATTTCTAATGAATTTTTACAGTGTTACCCCTGCCCAGGACACAAATAAGAGTGTCTGCCCTCCCCCACACTGTCAACCTCAATACCTCTCAAAACAGGATAGTTAAATAGCTCTGGGAAAGGGGTAACATAATAGGTACAACCAAATGGATTAAAAATTCTTAAAATTAAATACATTGCTAAAAATAATTAGTCTAGAGAGCCACTGATTTTCTAAAAACATAAGCCACAAATTGTCAGAGGTATTTGTGGTAATAACCCGAAATGGGCACATTAAACACGTTCCCCTGATCTCTACAGGTATGGCTCTGAAGGATAATGTCTTACGAGTATTGTTTTAATGATAATCAGAGCAAAACCACAGAAGGTTTCCCCTAAACTCTAGAGGGTCTTGCTTCACCTGCCAATCAATCAGTGACAGACGAAAGTGTCAGCTCTGTCGGCAGAATTTTGCTTCTTATGGGGATCTCTTCCATCTTGACAGGGTAGTCTCTGTTTTGAGATGATTTAAGCTTACAGTTATGAAGCAGACCAGCATCTTTAAATCAAAGTTAAAAACTCTCTCTGCTGCCGGGAATACAAGGAAGCTGCCATAAGTAATTTGCAAAAATATGCAAATAAGTATTTAAATAATATATATGTGTAAAAGCATTTACTTTCTGGAAAACTCTTCTGAGGAGGTAAAATAACAGAAAAGATGGAAGGGGTGTCGAAATGTAAGGGAGCTTTAGCCAGGCCTATCAAAATTGTCCTACCCACCTCACTGCCCAAAATTAATGAAGAGCATTTCTTTAAAAAAAAAAAAAAAAAAAAAAAAGAGGGCGGGAAAGCTGAATTTTCTCCACAATGTCATCCTCTTGCTGTCTAAACTTTGGGTCTCTACCTTCTGAGTTTCAGCCAGGGAAGCATCATGGTCCAGGTTTTCCCACAGGTACATCCTATGGAGGAAGTGCTGACACATAGCGGGACCTTTATCAGTGTTCATGTGTATATAAACCTACAAAAGAGATACATCACACCAGCCTTCCTGTTAGTGTGCAATGATGTTACCCAGCTCTTTGAGGCCTTCTCATTCACCATTTGCTGTTCCTCATGAGCATGAACATGCTTTCCTACAGCTTCCATAGAACTGCACCGTGAAGAGAGCCACTAAGATCCACACAAATCTCCTTTCTTAGAGTTCTGGAGGTCAAGATGTTGGCTAGGTCATAGTGCCTCTGCAACTCAGAGGGTGGCATTCTTCCTTGCACATTCCTCCTCCTGGTGGCATCCTTGGCTGTTTGAACTCAGTGTCTGAGTCGACCTTCCTATGGCTTTCCCTTCTGTGTCTCTTCGCGCTCTCTCCCTTCTTTCTAAGGAGTGTTCAGATTTCACTTTTTTTGTGAGGACACCTATCTTATTGGATTAGTGCGACTGACGATTTCATTTTAGTTGGGCTATTTCTCTAAGAATCCTATTTTCAAATGGCTTATATTCCAAAGGACTTCATGTATCTAAAAGTGTTAAGGACATGGACTTCAGACCTGCAACAATATTGATGCATTTCTTTCTCTTGGGTGATGTCCGTCTTTCTCCCCAGTCAGAAACCACCTTATCATATGACATAAAATCTGGACTTTTTAGGTTTAAGGCTACTTCAGACACTAATAATATTAGACATAGTCACTTAGAGTTCCTATGTCTGGACTGTTCTACCATAGAATAAAGGGACTTGTCCTGTTGTCAAGCTTCAGGAGCTTCTGTTTATATCATGCCACACTCTTTTGCTCTGTCTTAGCGTGTACACAAGCTCCCCCAATGCTCAATCCATTCTTTTGTCCCTATTTCTAATAATGGTGGTTCTGATCATCAACACATGAAACTTGATTCGGCAATTCATTGGTGTAACAACACGGTTGTATACAAAAACATACAAATTTCTTAGTTAAAAAATAATAGGAAGAGAAAGCAGTCCTGAAATATCCTATGGCATTTTTTGTTATCTCAGTACTTGTATTATAAGAACATTGTCTATAATGCTATTTAAGAGGGTGGGAGTACTATTTTACCTAACGAAAGGTGTGTTAAACTTAATTTGTGAAAACATTCAAGTAGTGTCAATAGCTGTTTTTTTGTTTTTTGTTTTTTGTTTTTTTTGTGGGATTTTATTACTTTGGGTTATTTTGTCTTTTCGGTATTAGAAGAAATACATGTCTATTGACATGTGACAATTGTATATATCCACAGTGCACAGCTAGTTTTTTTCAGTATGTATATCTATATTATGTGCAATAGTTGATTGACTAAATTAGCATTTCCAGGAACATTTGCTATTTCTTTGTCTTGGAACCCTTTAGTGCCTCTCTTCTTATTCTTTATAAAATATTAAGTTTTCATATATAATCACCTTTCTGTGCTGTAGAATATTAAAACTTATTTATTTCATTTATTTTGATTGTTGTTTTTTTTTTCAATGCCAACCATACTCTTGAAAATTATACCCAAGGTATGGAGGGTTACATGTTGTGACTTTCCTGATCATAGTATAATATTACCTCTATGAAATCCAGAAACCCAAAGATCCAGGGAGTCAAGGAAATGAGGAATAAAATTCTGCTGCTTATTCCAAAAAAACATTGGCAACTCTCCAGAAGTCTCCTTCTACAGCCATTACAGAAACATTTAAAATACACTCTACTATGCTTGGGGGGTGGGGGGGGGGATGTAGGAAAGGAAATTAAAAGGCCCTTTTGTCAGCTCTGGAATTAAGTATTTTTAAAGTCCACAAAGCTCCAAACATTCTGATCCAGGTACTTCTTGACCTCATCTGGGAGATGTTGCCCTGGGTTTCACTGACTAGCTTCTTTTCCTTCCAGCTTCCTCCATCCTCAAGAGAGAGAAAAGGCTGAGGACAAAGAATGTGCACTTCAGTTGTGTCACCGTGTACTACTTCACCAGGAGGCAGGGCTTCACCAGTGTGCCCAGCCAGGGGGGCAGCACCCTGGGGATGTCCAGCCGTCACAACAGCGTACGCCAGTACAGCCTGGGCGAGTTCGCAAGAGAGCAGGAACGGCTGCACCGAGAGATGCTGAGAGAACACCTCAGGGAGGAGAAGCTCAACTCTCTAAAACTAAAGGTGAAACATAAGCTTGCTGTTTTCAGAATCTCACATGAAAGCATCTGAGCTAATCATTTTTATTCATGCACCAGACTCTATTTTCCATGACAGACAAGCAGCCCAGCTTGTGTGTTTCCATTCTCTCTCTCTCTCTCTCTCTCTCTCTCTCTCTCTCTCTCTTTCTCTCTCTCTGTCTCTTTTCCTTTCTCTTTTATAAATCAGTACTCTTTTCACGGCACGCTTATCAGATATTTTTTATCCATCAATTCCACAGATATTTACTATTGGATATTGCTACATCATACACAGCTTTATGAATGTGCTTGAACGGGGGCTAGGAGGAAACTAAAAATAGATGTGGTTCCCTGACTATGGGTACTCACATTTTTGTAAGAGAGGAAAATATAAATCAAGCGGTCAAAGGAAATTGAATCAAAATTTCATTCAGAGTTATGAAGGAAAGTTGTAAGGTGTCATAAAAGTCTTTAACAAGAAACAGGTGGGCAGGAAGTCAAGCAGTCCTCCTGGAAGAAGGAAGAGGAAGATCTGAAACAGCGTGGAACCACATGAAAGTGTTTGTCTCTCTTTGTCCTCGGGGAATCAAAACTTACCATAAGTCTGAAGCACAGGTTGGAGCTGTAGCATAATATGACAGTCATGCAATCATGTGAAAATAGTTTGAGGGCAAAGAAGGTCGTGTTAAGAGAGGAGCTGTGTATAGGCAGACTAGTGCAGAGGCTATTAGAGTTGACCAGGAGAAAGGTGAGTGGAGGGTAGATTGGGGTGGAGGGGAAGAGACGTTGGAAACAGGGCCTTAGGAGATAAGGTTGGCAGTTCTGGGTGGTGAGCTGGATTTACAAGGACAGAGGGACAGTTGAAAATGGGGAGCTGCCTTGCAGATGAATGGCTGCCTTGCATGCTTGCTAGGATGTGGAAAGACAAAAAATCACAGGAAAGGGGTGAGGATAAACAATGAGGTCTTCCTCGCATAGGAGTTGGAAGGTGTTTACGTTGTCAAGAGCTGTGGGGACAGTGTTTAAGCTGGAGAAAACAAAATGCAGAAAATGACTAGAAGCATTGACTTACCACCTATTAATGTAAAAACACTCTCCCATTGATATCTAATGACAAAGAAAGCATTTTGGGAATAGTCCTCATAAGCTCGTTCATTAAGTTTCTGAAGGACACTTACCTTTAATTAAGGAAATCAGAGGTGTGGCATATGCTCCAAGATACTGTCTTTTCTATATTTTACTGTTTGTTTATATGCCTGCTTCTCAATTGCATGAAAAGACAGTAAGTTACATCGAGCTGGATACAACCCAGTCTTGAGGCTGTCTCACATTTCCTTTGCCAATATGTTTGGCAAGTATCATTGAAAGTTCCTTCTCATGGTCGTTTTTGTTTTTCTGAATGACTTCCGTGTACTTAATTCAGCAGTGATTATTAACTTGCTGCTGAACTCAAGCCTTCCTCTTCAGACCAACTCCACCACGTCCCCAGAGATGACATCATTCTCTAAGTTCAGATATTGCTAAATCAATGATAATGGCTGCCAGTCACTAGGGCGAATTTTTAGTTACCTAGAATTTTATACATATGATGGAATTTAATCCTTACAAACACCCAATGGAATGAAATCATCAGAACGTTAACTGAGATAAAAGGATCATGCAGGCAGTAAAGAATCAGTTCACCAAGTAGGGAATGGGTGGTTATTATTTTGGCCCTTATTATTATTATTGTTGTTATTATTATTATTATTATTATTATTATTATTATTATTATTATTATTAAATGAACTGATTGTCCCATTTAGAAACTAGAAAGAACACTCTGTCCCTCTCCAGGGCTTGGTGGTGTGTTCAATAGATTCTATCAGCTGAGAGGCAGTAAAGCCATCTAACAACCATGATGGTTGTTGGTGTAATTCTCTGAAGGAACTGCAAGCCACAGCAGCCTTCCCCGCAAGGCAGTGAGCTACTCTTACGCTCTAATTCTTTCTCTCCTTTCCATACTCTTTTCTAAGAAGCAGAATTAGAAAAGAAGAATGAAACGGAGCCGCGTTGGTCTCTCATTAGTAAAATTATACTTAGGGATAGATAAAGACAGGCAGTCATCCCAGCGGCTGGCATCAAGGTGGGCGGCATGCCTACAGTTTCATTCTCACGTGAAAACATGCAGCCTTCCCTTTGGTGAGGTTGTAAATGGAGGGATTTGGTTGTGGTCCCCCCTTCCAAATGACTGGGAAGCTATCAGGGGGTTGTGCAGCGATCTGCTCTTTGCCTCTCCGGATTTCGTACACATGTACTGTGAAGCACATGGTAAAGCAAGCTAAAACCTCACAGCCGAGTAGACCAGTACTCCGAATATAGGAGAGGAAAAGCCTGTGTGTTTTCAGGGTAGTTCTTGCAGCATTAATTTTCATGATTTAAAAAAATGCCATGAATTATACCCATCTAAAGGCTTAATTATCTCAAGTCTCAAATTAACTAGCAAAAAAAAAAAAAAGAGAAAGAAAGAAAGAAAAAATGACAGTTGTGACAAAAATTTCACTGATGCTAAGAATTTATCTTTTAACGCATTTGTTTCTAACTATAAATCCCTCTGGAAAGGCAATGTGGCAAAGTCAATTCCCGGACTTTTGGTGGGAGCAACAGAAAAGGCTCAGTAGAGAGGTGCAGTCCAAAGAGAGAGAAAAGGTCGCTATTGATGGACTTTGCTGCTGGTTACGGTGACATAGACCTGTACTCAAAGCTCTCCAGGGCAGAAGCAGCATCTTCAGCTCAGAATGGAGTGGGGCTATTGGTAAAACCTTGTTGAGACAGGGGTTGGGGAGGGAAAGAGAGAGAGAAAGAAAATTAGTGCAAATGGGTTTTGCCTGAGATGGTTTTCATGGAGGGTCAGTAAACTCTATGTGGAGTAACACAGGAGTAGCCTGTCTGACACGTTGAACCTTCGCCAAGCCCTCTTGTTAGAGGCACGGTAACCCACTGGACCTTTCACTTTGCTTGTTTGAAAAGCCGATATCCGTAGTCAGCAATGATGAAGTCCTCACACGCAGTGCCTTTGAGTTGCCCAGGAAATACACTGAGTTCCAAATAGAGGAGCTATTTATGCATGCCTCTTGAAGCTTCCTGCTAATAAACATTTTGGAAATAAATCAAGAATAGAAGTTGAGGTTTTGACTTAAAAATTGCCTCTAATTTGGTTAATTCATTTCCTGAGTTATGAGTTATACAGATATCAAGAAATGATATAGATACAGACACTTAGAGTTGTAAAACAATTCCAATTTTATTGGAAGGTTTCAAGTATATCATTTCTGTTGGCACCACGGATGTTTCACACACTGACTATAAATAAGTAATGGGGAAAACTAATTGAATAAAATGTGTGTTCCTAGAAGAAATAAGTAGCTTTAGGTTCCTAAATTACACAGTACAGTTTTCTTTTCCCTGTCAAGCCTATTCAGATGTCACACTCTTCACGGTAATCAATGTAGTCATCGTAATACTATGCTCCTTTGCAAATTAAGTGCTTAGATTTAATAATGCGCACCACACTCTTGAACAGTTACATTGGCCTTTATTCCTATCTCTTCTTGTTTCTGGGGAATGCATTCGGCAGCTGTTCGCAGGTTCCACAGAGGGCCGGTGTCCTCGTTGCCCCTAGAGGACTCGTTGTTCATCCTAGAGGACTCGACCGCATTGTGCTGAGAAATTGAATGTAGCTTCTGCAGATGTGACTGCCTCTCCTTGCCAGGGTTTCTACAATCCAAATAATTCTTCCTTTACTTCCGGGATCAAAGCTCTGTTCTTTATTTTTCCTGTTACCCTCCCTGGCTGCTCTCCGGGATTATACACTTCTCACAGTTTCTTCATCGTGTGTTTATGGGTGGTACTTGGTTACTGACTTCTCTTTCCAAACTTACAGCAAAAAGAGTGGCCAGCTTTCAATGATGAATCTTAGAAAAAAAAAATTATGTAAATCCTTTCCACTCAAAATCTCAGATTTATGAATACTATAGTCATTTACTAACTTGCCTTTGCACTTTGTAATTTTCCACTTTGCCTACAGCCCAGCTCACTGCTTCTCTTCAAAAGTCTTGGGATTAATTATCCAGGTAAAGAATTTAGATGTCCTTGGAAATGCATGGGATTGGGCACTCCAGAGAGATGGATGAATTATCTCTCAAACCCGTAGTTTCAACCTATAGATGTGGCTTTAATTGTATTCCTTATGTTGCAGTTCATTTTTAGATCTGTCTTATCTTGTTGGTCATGGTATTGCTGAAAGCTAATTATTGTTCAGAATGCCTGTGTTAGGCTCTGTAGAGATTCCTTTAGGACACACTAAGGAACAAAGCTTCTAAAAATGCATCTTAAGCAGAGGCAAGGCTCAGCACCAAATGGAAAACTTTGCTGTGCCAAGTACCTGCTCTGCCTTATGCATATATACACAGACCTATTTTGACAAGTACAGAGAAAATATACCTAACCAAAGTGATAGAAACTGACAGGGTGGGTTTCTACCCTGTGTGTGTATAATGTACTTAAGAATATGTTCTTTCAAAATATTGCAGTATTTTTAGTTGACAGGGAACAGTTAAGCACATGTAATCAAACCTTTACATTCTTCCTGCGCAAGAAGTATCACTTTTTAAATTCAGGAAAATACTGCATAAATTGCCCTAACTTAATGTGGGGTGTAGCCAGTGATGTTGCTTGCTAGAATGAATTGTGTTTTCATCCTTCCCCGTGGAATCTCGAAATGAGCTAGGAAGGGAGTATTTAAGCCCCAGGACTTGTTAAACAAAAGCAATCGCTGTGTTTTCACAGCGTCAGTTGCTTTAGCATTTACTGGCATGCTGCTGGGTGCATCCTGCCTTATTATTTGCCACTGAAAGAGGCAATAGTGGTCTAAGCCAGAAGGAAGGATGAATTTTAGAAAGATATCTTTTATGTTGTTAACATTATCCTTTCTGGGGCCTTTTGTGGTGATATGGATTCCAAAGA